CAAGGGCAAATCTATGCAAAAATGTTCCAACTGAACCCTATGTATTCAGAATCACAGTGTGTTAGAACTGACAGAGGCCTGAAAGATCCTATTTAACTTTTTTTTTAAGTGAAGAGAAATATCTTTTCATAAGTTTAATGGCTATTTGTATTTCTTCTTTTGTGAATTGCCTTTTAAAATTATTTCTCATTTTTCTATTGGAACATTACATTGTAAATTATTTGTAAGTATTTTTATATGTATAATATAAACATATTATCTGTCATATACAATATACATCTTTCCTTTTTTCCATATTATAGTGCTGCTTTTTATATATACATGAAGTTTTAAGTTTTTTGTAAATTGATTTATCTCTTTGTAGATTATATCTTAGTGTTTATAACTAGCAAGAAGACTTCCCAATACCCAAATACAGTAAATAGCCACATATTTTAAGTTATTTTGCAATTTTTTAAATTTTATTGAATTTTAAAGATCTGTCTTTAATTTAATTATATATAAGTCTCTAACAAATCTGAAATTTAATTTGCGAAGTAGGCATCTAATTTTATATTTTCCCAAATGGTTAGCCAAATATTGCTGTACCATTTATTAAGTAATCTGTTTTTCCCTATTCAACTGAAATGCCACACTGACTTGATATTTAATTTGTTTGTTTGAGGCAGCAGAACTTCTCAAAACATTTATTAACAGAGAACAATGTTTCATGTAATTAGCATTTGACTTAATAGCTCAATTTGAAGAATGGAAAAAATAAAGGGAAATGATAGATTTCAGTACTACGAACAACATTTGTTGGGACTTTTGAAGGTAGATAAATTGGAAGAAAAAGTATTATGTTGCTTTATTTTAAAAGTAGAAGCTAGCAATTTCTAGCTGCATTTGAGGACTTTATTTTCTCTTTGCATTTTCTTCCCTGTCATCTACAGATTTCCTAGCAGACTTAACACCTGGCATTGGGGAATCCTTAAACCCAGGGAAGGAACTGCGGGCAGGAAATTTTCTGTGAATGTTAGGGTTGGAAAAAGGGGAGATGCAATAAGGGGTGTGCTTCCTTAAGATGATAAACTCTATATCCATAAAGCCCCTGGCTGGAATTCTGGGTTGAATTGTATCCTCCCCAACCCCAACAGAAAAAAAAAAAAAAAGACATGCTCTTCAACACATCTTCCTAACCCCCAGTATCTCGGAATGTGAACTTATTTGGAAATAGGATCATTGCAGATATAATTAGTTAAATAAAAATGAAGTCATACTGGAATAGGGTAGGCCTCTGGTCCAATATGACTGGTGGCCTTACTGGAAGATGGCCATGTGAAGACAGAAACACACAAGGAGAAGACCATGCAATGATGAAGGCAGACTGGAGTTATGCAGCTGAAAACCAAGCAACATCTTCTTATGTATTTAATTTGTGTCAGATTTCACCATGTGTCAAAGATTGCTATGAAAACACCAGAAGCTAAGAAGAGAGGAAGGATTCCCCTACAGGTTTCAGAGGGAACACGGCTCTGCTTACACCTTAATTTCAGATGTACAGCCTTGTACTTTGTGCTACTTTATTATGGCAGCCCTAGAAAACTAATGCAGCCCACATGATATTTAATGGCCTCATAGCTTCTGACACCAAAATGCCCCCAAAACACCTTTGATCTGAATTTTGTCAAATTTTGAACACTTATAGGAGATGATATAACTAGAATATGATGAAATACGTATTAAATAAAGCCCAATGACTCCATGGATTCCAAGTAGAAGTTAAGTAAATCCCTTAAAATCAGAGCTAGAATAATTGTTCTGCCACTCATTAGCTCTGTGACCTTAAGCAAGTTATTTAACTTCTTGGAACCTCCGTTTCCTCATCTGTAAAACAAAATGTCTACCTCAAAGGGTTATCATAAAAACTGAACAAAGTAGTGATGCATGGAAAAGTACTTACAACAGTACTTGACACAGAGTGAGTATATAATTAATGATCATCTTCTTCTTTTTCTTCTCCTCCCCCTCCTCCTCCACCAGTGCAACTTAACAAATTCAAAATGATAGTTCATCACATAATTGCAACAATGTGCTAGACACTCACATAAAGACCCATTGTAATGTAGTCATTTTGCAATGGAAGTTTGGCCATGTGACAAGAATGTGCCCCTGATATGTCTCCTTGCAGGTTACTATGAACTGAATTGTGTCCTCCCCTGGCAAACTCGTACGTTGAAGCCCTAATCTTCAATGTGATCGTATCTGAAGATAGGGTCGTTGGGAGATAACTAAGGCTGAAGGAGTCATAAGGGTAGCACCCTAATTCTATAGGACTGTAGCCTCATAAAAAGAGGGAGAGAGAGAGAGAGAGAGCTCTCTCTATGGCAAGCACCAAGGAAAGGCCACATGAGCATGCAGTGAGAAGGCAGTTGCCTGCAAGCCACAGAGTGCACTCACTAGAAGCCAACCATGCTGGCACCCTGATCTTCCTCTTCCCTGTTTCAGAGCTGTGAAAAAATTAATTTCTATTGTTTAAGCCACCCAGTCTATGGTGTTTTGTTATGGCAGCCAAACTGACTAATTCACAGATTCAGTACTCAAAGGATTAAATATATATTACCTCTTGGAACAGACAATGTGGATCTCCCTACTTGGCTGTATCCTCCTTCCCTACTAGTCTTCCAAATTTGTAATGCTGTAGGGCCCTCTTCTTTGCTATATCTATGTCCTTACTGTGAGTCTTCTATCTCAATCCAGCCCAAGGCTTTAAATATCATGTGAAATGGTTTGAATGTGTGTGTCCCCTTCAAAATTCCTATTGAAACTCAATCCCTAATGCAGCATTGTTAAGAGGCAAGGCCTTTGGGAGGTGATTAGGTCATGAGGGACCTGCCTGTGTGAATTAATTAGAACCTTATAAAAGGGATGGAGGGAACTAGTTAAGCTCTTTTTGTTCTTCTCCTTTCTCCCATGTAAGGGTGCTACAGTGAGAAGATGCCAGGTCCTCTTCAGACACCAAACTTGCTGGTGCCTTGATCTTGGACTTCCCAGCCCTTAGAACTGAGAGAAATAAATGTCTATAATTTATAAATTACCCAGTCTGTAATATTGTGTTATAGCAGCACAAAGTGATTAAGACATCGTATGTATACTGATGATATACAAATTTAGTCCTCATCTCTTCCTTCAACTGCAGGCCTATGTGTCCAACTTCCATCTTGACTCTTCCACTTGGATGAATAGTAAATAGCCACCTCAAATGTTTTGAAATCCGAAACAAACCCTTCATTGAACTGTTTGTTCCCTCTTTCCAACCATGCCTTGCCCATGTGGACACCCCCAACCCAAAAGTCATCCTTGATTTCTTTTTCTTTAGCCCCTCTGCCCACATCTAACCTGTCAGTAAGTCTTGTCAGTTCTACTTCCAAATTATATTTTTAATGTTATTCCTATTTCTCAGTTCCACTGTCACCACCACGACTACTTCTTGCCATAGTTTCATTTCTTGCCATAGTCTCCTAAATGGTCTCCTTATCTCTAGTCTTGCTGTCTTATAAATTCCTCTCCACTCAGTAGCCAGAGTTATCTTTTTTAAAATATAATTTTAATTTTACAAAAAACAATACATGTGCAGAGTTTAAGCAGGCAGAGTTCAACAAATGATATCACCAAAAGGAAACAAACAAACAAGACAAACCAATACCTTCCAGGGAAATAATTTTCAATGCTTCAGCTCAGAGTTATCTTTTCGTTTGTTTGTTTTTGGTTAGGTTTACTGAGATATAATTTGCATAGAGTAAAATTCAGCAATTCACATATTTAGGTATACATTCCAGTGACTTTTGACAAATATATTTGGTCATGTAACCACTATAATAAAAATATAGAATATTTCCTTTACCCATAAGATATAGATGGATATAGATGTAGATGTAAAAGATACAAGGTCTCCTTCTGTTGCCCTTGAACTCCTGGGATCAAGCAATCCTCCTGCCTCAACCTCCCAACTAGTTGGGATTACAGGTTTGAGCCACCATGCCCATCCCCATAAGTTATATTTCAATACATAAACTGAATCATGTCAACTTTTTAGGCAAAAAGCCTTCAGTGCGTTTCTTCTAACGTAGAATAAAATCCAAACTCTTTGTCAGGGTCCTTGAAGCCCTACAAAACTCACTTCCATTTACTTCTCTGAACTCCCCTAATAACAAGTCCCCTCACTCAGCAGGGCCCTGCTCAGGAGTTTCAATCTGCTTCATGGACATTCAACTTGCTGCTCCCCTTGTCTGGAACGATCTTCCTCTGATATTCCATCCACCTTACCTTTTCCGATCTCTTTATTCAGAGTAGCTTTCAATTCACCTCAAGAAAGTTATTAATTATTTTATCCTGTTTATTTCTTATCACAATTTGGGATAATTTTGTTAATGTATCTTTTTGCTTGTTTATGTCTTAGACCACCAGAATGTAGCAAGATAAAGGCAGGGCCTTGGTCCATTTATGCAACACTATATTCCCAGCTCCCATATATTATCTGTTCTACCACACAGAGGGTTCTTCATATTAGGTTGAACTATTTGGAATTACCCACATATGACCGTTTTTGACTTACAAGAATGGCGGTTTCATATGGTTCATTTGGTTTATAAATATTTGCTGAATAAATAAATGAATGAACTGAAATTTTGAGTTGCTGCCAACAGGAAGAGAGTAGACAGTTACATTTGTGTGCAGTTAGAAAGGGTTCACTCTCCTGAGTTCACTTGATCCCTTTTTATCCTAAATTGCCACCCAAAGTACCATCGTAATTTTCCACTAGGAAAATTATTCATTAAAACAGATAACATGGGTCACTTAAGTGTAAAACTTAAAGATGACACTTCTTTAAGGAAATCTACCAGAAGAAAATCTTTTTCTGATTTTTAAAGTTTAATGAAACATAATTTACATATAATGTAAATGGCTAATAATTTACGAACAATGGCTAATTTTTAATTCTTCACGTTTTTTGTTGGCAGGCAACGTGTTGGACCTTCCTGAGCTTCTCAGAAGAGAGAGGGTTTTCTTTTGAGGCAAACTTGATAGTACATTTTGATAGTACAGGAGGCAGTACTGCCTGGTGACAGAAAAGCGCCAGCTTTGTTAGCAGGACCCCCTGGCAGAGATGCAAGCTGTGCCACTTACCAGCCAGGGGACCTTGAGCCAGCTGCTTGGGCTCACTCACCCTGTTTCCTCAGCTGCAATTGGGATGAACAGACTGCCTGCTTCGGGGTTGCCTAAGGCTCACATTGGTTAATGATGTGAAACACTTAGCGCAGTGCCTGGCATGGAGAGAATTCTCATTAGATGATACCTTGGCTGGGCTTTAGGAGCTACAGAAGAAACTTCATCTCCGTGAGCTCAGCATGTTTCTAGCTTTCCTTTTTGTTTTCTATTCAACCTTTCACCCAACTCAGCTTCTCAGTCCCTAAATGACAAAGGTTTGGGAAGGAAGATCTGGACCAAGGCTTGCAATTGTTTCTGATAATTAAATGTTATGTTTTCTTCAATCTAAATAAGTTTGCCTGTACAGCCTTGTTCAATGGTTGTTTTTTTTTTCTCTCCCTGATAAATGACCCTCAACTTATTTTCCCTCATTTAATTGCTTATTTACATACAGTGCCTAGAAGCAAATAAATTTAATGGCCCCTAGCAATTGGCCTTCAGGTATCAAGTTTAAGTCCCTTTAAGCAGAACAGCAAATTGAGCACGGAATGAACTGGTTTCATGGTAGTGTACTGCAATTAGATGCAAGAATAGGGAAAGCAGGGTGCTTCAAGCGGTGACACAATTAGAATAGCACTGGGGGGGCTTCTCTTTCCACTTCTTCAACTCCCCCTGGATTCCACTGGCTAAAGAGTCAATGACATCCCTGAAAAATCTTCCCTCTCTTGTTTCTCTGATGCCACCTCTGTGTTCTCTGCCTCACTGGCCACACTTCCTTTACCTCCCAAACTTTTAACTCTGAGTGTCCCAAACTTGTCTCATCACCTACCCCTGCTGCCCAGCTCCCCACCCTGTTCCCCTTCTGACACGGGCACTCTCCTTCTGATCTCTTGGGAGAGAAACAATGAAGGGCTATTTGGCACTTTTATTTCTATTCAAGGAACCAGACTGTGAACAAGTTTACCATTTAGTCCTTTGGACTGTGTCTTGAATTCATCCCTCTTCTCCATTCTCACCAGCACCATCATCATGATGGCTAATATTTCCTGAGTATCTTTCATCCAGGCATGATGTCAGGTGCACCAACTTACTTAATCCTCATAGCCACCACCTGAGCAAGCGCCTGTTTTATAAATGGACCAGTTCTTGCTGCTATTGTACAAGTTATTTTCTTTCTATAACATCCTCCTTGTCCTCCTTCCACATTCTTAAAGAAACTTGCCCTTCCTTTAAAGTACTCAGGGAGCCCTGCATTGCTTCTTGAAGACTTCTCCAGCTTCATCAACTCACAGTGGTCTCTCTTTTCACTAAATGTTCAATATGCTGCACATAAATACTCCAAGTTAGCACAGAATTGTTCTATGGCTGTCATATATATTAAAAATAATTAAAAGTTCGCTTTTTCTCCCATTATTGGAAGGATACATGCTCCTATTAGTAAATTTAGTAGGTAGAAAAAAATTATCACTATCCAGACTGCTTTCCATTTAGTCTTTATGCATAGCTTTCTGTCTGCCTATTTTTATCTTGTGTTTGTAGCTTACTATTATAAAATATGCATCTCCATGTTCATTGTCAACATTATTTACAATTACTGAATAATATAACACGGCGTGGATTTACACATATTCTCTATATTTGGATTAAAGGAGATGGAGTATGTGAAATTAAATGGGAGAAGTATCTGACACATAACAGGCAATACAAATATTATCACATAGTATCAATTTATTTGTGAATATTGAAAGCTCCGAAAAAGAAAAAAGTTTTTTTTTAATTCCCCTAATTACTTATTGCAGTATTGTGTTCATGCAAAATGCTCAATCATTTTGGAGAAATAACAATTTTTTTTCCTCATCATGAAGTAAGGTATGCTCACTGCAAAAAATCTAGAAAATAAAGAGGAACATACTAAAGAAAAGAATACTCCCATGTAATCTCAGTCTTCAGAAATAATCTTTTGTAACACACACTGCTGGTGGGAATGTAAATTAATTCAGCCATTGTGAAAAACAGTGTAGCAATTCCTTGAAAAACTTAAAATAGAATTACCATTCAACCCAGCAATCCCATTTTTGGGTATATACTCAGTGGAATGTAAATCATTCTGCCATAAAAACACATGCACGTGTATGTTCATTGCAGCACTATTCAAAATAGCAAAGACATGGAATCTACCTAAATGCCCATCAATAGTAGACTGAATAAAGAAAATATGGTACGTATTTACCACAGAATACTAAGCAGCCATAAGAAAAGAAAAAGATCATGTCCTTTGCAGCAATATGTATGGAGCTAGAGGCCATTATCCTAAGCAAACTAATGCAGAAACAGAAAACCAGATACTGCATGTTCTCACTTATAAGTGGGAGCTACACCGTGAGAACACATGAACACAAATAATGGAAAAAGAGACATCATGGTCTACTTGAGGGTGGAGGCTGGGAGGAGGGAGAGAATCAAAAAACTACCTATAGAGTACTATGCTTGTTACCTGTGTGATGAAGTAATCACTTTGAACATTGTCTTCTAATCTAGACTCTTTTCTACGTTCTGTTTGCACACAGAAATACACATGCAAAGCTGAACACATATGTGAAACAAAATTCAGACACTCAAATTTTCCTCCAATACATGATAAAATCTTGCACAATAGCTTCCTCCACAGCAGAAAATGTCTTTACTACATCTTAAAAATGGGGTAAATGAATAGGGTCAGGCTTTTCAGTGTAATAATCTTGGTAAATATTTTCAATGTGAGGAAATACAAACAAAAGACCTTCTCTCCCAGCAAATTTAGACCCAAATGAAAATTTAAGCACAGTCATTTTAAACAAATTTGTCCTGGAGCTTAGTGGTTCAAGTTCAAGGTTGAAGAGCAGTCTGGGGACATCAACTCTTAATATTTTTCAAGTTTTGGAGCAAGTGGTTTCTAGGCTCTGAGTGAAGTGAAACAGAATCTCTAGGGGCATGTGGTAAAGATGATCCCATACTATGTGCAGCATAGAGTTAAAGAGAAGAGGCGAGAGCATGAAGAGAAACCAGTACAATCAGTTGTTCACATACCACTAACTACAGTGATACTCCCGTTTGCTTCCTGTGAAGCAGACAATTACTAATAATCACTGATGTCACTTTTTTATTTCATACATCCTTTAACTATTTTCTTATCTTGAAAGAGTCAACATAAAAGCCACATCCATTTTCTAATTTTGAACAATAGAGAAACCTAATATCTTCTCATATTTTTGTCTTGCTTCCGTCTCATGAGTTCCCAAAATAGATACATTATCTGAATGAAGAGTTCATGGGCAAATGTCACACTTTTCTTGGTTCAGCTAATTATATTTCTGCTTTTGCTTAGAATAAGATTAATTTTCCTTTTCTGCTAATAAACCATGTGATGGCAAAATGCCTTATGCTGAGAAAAGATGCCTTTGGCATTTTAAAGAATTGGGAAGCTATTTCAGATAAGCTATCATGTGCATGAAGAATAATTTATTCATATGAAATGTTCAATAACCAGAAAAGACCGATTTTAAAAAAAACATTTCACAATTAAGTTTTTTTTTTTTGTTATGGACAGTGATTTCTTCTAAGAAACAAAGCGTCTGTCTATATGAAGAATAACTAACATAATGGTTAATAAATATTGATTGGATCCAGCCAAGTGAGCAGCATTTTTGAGTTTACAGATGTGGTGACTTTGAACTGTATTTAAGTGCTTATAATGAAATCTTGCAGTTGGAGTAATAGCTTTGTTCCTGAGTCTCATGAATATTTTCCAGCTCCTTTGTCCTAAATTTCTGCCTGACAATCACCCATTTCAAGGAATAAAAGGATATAATAAGTGATAAATCTATGCTGGAACTTTTAACCTAAAAAGTTCACATACTTTTTCTAGTAAACTGAAAACTATTAGAGAAAGATGGAGGTATTAAAACCTATTCATGAGGAAATCAATGGCAACATATTTTAAATGGTTTTGAATTTTATAAAGATTTACTTTTATAGCACTATGTCCTTTTTCTTTTCTTCTCCTTGGTTTGATTTCCAACAGCTGATCTATTTACTTGTTGAGTTATTTCATATCTATTATTCCATTTAGACCTTGAGCCCTGTGAGAGTAGGGACTAACTTTATTCCTAGTGCCTGTCACATGGTTTGCACTAAATAGGTGTATTTTTCCAGCCTGCACTACTACTTACAATAAGGAGTTTCTTATATTTACTTGAAAATGTTTTCAACCTTCTAGGGATGACCTCTCATATTATTATTCTATTATTGACCTTTTTATCCTTATTATTGACCTTTCATCTTATTATTCTGATTTAGTGAGCAGATTTTATTTCTCCTTGTCCATACCATTCAAGGCTGTCTAGATTTCAATTGTATCCTCAGATTTTTACTTTCTGCATTGATGAGTCTCAATGTGAACCCTCCAAAGCAGGTTCCTACGGCACTCATCAGTTTCTTTAGTTGAGGGATAGTGGCCACTATGTCCTCAGGATGTTGGAGACATGATGAAATAAAGACAGTGATATTAGCCCCCTAACTGTAATCACTCATGCTGCCCCCACCCATGTCTACCCACTGGAACAGAGAGTGGTGGCATTGGGGTGGTACAGGGCTTGCCAAGGATGTTGGCTTGTAGTTCTATCTCCAAACATCCAGGGCATGTCCTCTTTTTCACCTCTCCTTTAGAATCTGCTTCCCTGAATCATCCCTTTAAGTGCAGGAAGAAAGCTATTTTTAACGTGAAAATTACTGTTCCACAGTTATCTCATGGTGGAAACTCTTAATGGGCTCTTACTTTGGGCATCCGTCTGGCTCTCAGTGCTAGTAACTTTCTTTTCTTCTTATTTTTGTTTTATTGTGTTTTGTTTTAAAGATGGGGTCTCTGTCACCCAGGCTGGAGTGCAGTGGTTTGACCATAGCTCACTGCAACCTTGAACTCCTGGGCTCAAGCAATCCTCCCACCTCAGCCTCCCAAGTAACCGAGACTACAGGCACCCACCAACATGCTTGGCTATCAGTGCTAATAACTTTCTGAAGCTCCATGCCTTTAACTCCAGTGTTCTTTACTTAATGTTTTGAAATATCTGCTGCCCACAAATCCTAGCACATTTCTGAAGTTATCAATATTTTAAGACCTCCCATACTCCTTTTTCTCCCGTCTTCCCGTCTCATTGTTATTAGCCTCATAGTTGCAAGGCCCCAGCCCAGCATCCACCACACACTATATCCCATACATACAAATACAGCATAGATAGTATTGAACATTTCATTTTTCACTTTAGCCTGGTGAAAATTAATATGTATTTAAGTATTTTATAGGCATGACTCTTAGTTTTAGGTTGTCTGTCTGGTCCATCCTTATTTCTACCTTTAAATCCAGAGCTACTTCCACCAGCTTGAGATAAAAGAAGACACCAGGTCCTAAGTCTTCCACTTCGTTCCCTATGGGTTTTGTTCGTTTGTTTGTTGGCTTGTTTTTGGTAGAGATGAGGTCTCACTCTGTTTCCCAGGCTGGAGTGCAGTGGTGCAATCATAGTTCACTGCAGCCTCAAACTCCTGGGTTCAAGCAATCCTCCTGCCTCAGGCTCTGGAGTCACTGGGGTTACAGGCATGAGCGACTGCACCTGGCTTCGATTTCCTGATTAGATTTTTCTCTCTGCAGCTAGCTTCTTTCTTCCTGCCTGAGTCATTTTCTTGTCCTGGGAGACATTTTTCTGTCTTGGACATTTGTCGAATTGAAAGCAAGGCACTTCATTAATGTCTGTCCTCAACTTCTGTTTGACATACTTCCCATGTCTTCAAGTCATGGTATCTCTAAAACGATTCATATTGCTTTTCATTACTAAGCTTTTTTTCCAAAGTACTCCTCTTCAGCCTTCATTCCTGATGTCTTTATATTTCTCTAGAAGGTCTTATATGCTAGATATACACCTCCTTTAGACACTTATCATTAACCCAATTTAGGGTAAGATAATTTTTTTTACATTATAGTTCTTTTATTCTCTTAAGAGTGAGCACTCTTGGCCAGGCGCGGTGGCTCAAGCCTGTAATCCCAGCACTTTGGGAGGCCGAGACGGGCGAATCACAAGGTCAGGAGATCGAGACCATCCTGGCTAACCTGGTGAAACCCCGTCTCTACTAAAAAATACAAAAAAACTAGCCGGGTGCGGTGGCGGGCACCTGTAGTCCCAGCTACTCGGGAGGCTGAGGCAGGAGAATGGCGTAAACCCGGGAGGCGGAGCTTGTAGTGAGCTGAGATCTGGCCACTGCACTCCAGCCTGGGCGACAGAGCGAGATTCCGTCTCAAAAAAAAAAAAAAAAAAAAGAGTGAGCACTCTTATAAATACCTACAACTGCTCACAGTGGTCCTAGTAGGGACATAAAGTAAA